GCTTTATGAACTGATGAAAACTAAGAATAAAAAATTAAGTTGAGCTTGACATGATTCATCATATGACCAAAAACAAGTATGGGCATTCCCCATTGATATTATAGAATCTAAGGGTCCATTTAGGATAGCTACAGCTTGTTGTAAACATAGTTCTAGTTGTAACTTGTTGTAAAGATAATACTATCAGCTTCAACTTATTATAAAGATAATTGTAAAATTATAATGTGGAAAGCAACTTTGAAATATTCTGAGTATTTTTTTAAAGTTAAATAACAACTTTCTTACGGCAACCACATCCTAGCATATAATTGAAAAAAAAAACTTCCCGCCACAAAAATTTTTGAAAAGCAACAACAAAGTAGTAGCCAAATACAAAATGTAGGAACTGTCTGAAAAACAAAGCAATAAAAAAACACCCCAAATAGACCCTAAGTATCAAATCAAGTTGGAACCCTAAGTTAGCCAACATAAGAAACTAAGGGCTTATTTGGTTGTACTTAAGTTTTTCACAAAGTTGATTGAGAAGTTGAAAAGTCCTTAAAAATCAGTTCCATAAATTTGTTCTAAAAACAAACATGCTAAAGCAAATTTCTCAAAGAGCATATCAATTTTCTTATCCAAAAAATGTGCACTATCAGTTAAAAATATCAACCAAATGAGCTCAACATGCTCGCATCCTGAAACAGCTTACAAGATTATTTCTTTGTTAACCACCTTCTGTCAACATATTGCAGTTAAAAAATAGGTAAAATATGCAAAAATGAAATACATATTGAATGCAAATTGAGATGGAAAATGGGTGGGAAACCCCTTTCTTTGTAGCATGGCCAGGCAGGTGAAGAGCTGTTATGAATGGGATTTGAGGACGAAGATGATGGTGGGGTGGTGAACGGGAGGATGAAATCATAATCGTTAGAGCATGTCATTTAAAACTTCATTGATGTCATGATGCGGATGAAGATTTTCTAGACAAAGTTTCACACTGATACCAAATTATGTAAAACATTACGGAATAGATAAAAGTGGGTGGTAGGAATAGTAAAGCATACCATGTATTGTCAAAATCCCATCCAATTAATAAAGTTCAAATTAAACCAACCAAACCAACTTAATTAACCCAACTAGGAAACCCAAGTTGGCATGCCATTCAGTCAAGTCAAGTCAACCGACATAGCCCAACCTAACCTTAATTACAAAAAGAAAAAAAGAAATTCAACTTCTTCAATTAAAATTGTAGCAAGATTAGCATAGTCTCTCAGTTTGCTTTAAGAGAAACTAGTGACTTTCTTACAAAGCTGATTAATAAGAAACTATATTTACGTGGATGTGTATTCATTATCTTTAGCAAGGATTTATGGGAATGGCGTTTTGACATTCCAAGGACCAACTCTCTGCATTCCAATTCTCCCAATGATTCATTGATCAGCCATCAGAGAAGATGATGTAGTTATGTGATCACTCATTTTCATAGGCTATAATTTGCTAGTGTTGTTTCATAGTTTTAAATCTTCAAGTTTATTGTGCCACTTACCTGTCCATATTACAGAGCTTTGAAACTTGGACAACCTCCAATGCCTCTGCTTCTCGGGTTTGACATGTCATGATAAATGAGTCCTTTCCCAAAAATTTGTTTATGTTATTTTCAAATTTGTTTACCATTCATTCTTGCTTTTCTTCTAGATGCATTGAACAATGTTTCGTTTGTTATTTACATGATGAACTTGATCTTCTTTTTTATTTGTTTTTGCCGTACCTTGTTATTTGGAATTAGATTCATTTTTATAAAACAGAGGCCATGGTCTATGTAATTTAAATATGATAGTAAAATTTAAGAAATTTAAGATTTCATGCAACATGAAGGTTTCAATCACCCTAAGGACAGTGAGATGCTTCCTCTCTTCCTTCGAGAGAATTAGAGAGCTAGCTAAGATAATTGATACCATTATTTAAAATTGCATAATATGAGGCCCGCCTCAGCACAATTCAAGTGAAACGCCCCTCAAGCTTTTTTTATTAGGTTTGCGCCTTAGCATGGCTGAGGCCCGCGTCGCTATACCGACATGAGGCGTACACCTTACCCAACAACAACAACAACAACATCAAGCCTTTATCCCACTACGTGGGGTCGGCTACATGAATCCTTTTTTCTCCATTGTGTCCTATTAAAAGTCAAATTCTCATTTAAATCTAATAAAGAAAGGTCATTCCTAATATTTTCTAACCAAGTCTTTTTAGGTCTACCCCTACCTTTCTTAACATAAGTCAAATCTAATATTCTCTAACTTCAGTTTTACTAATACGCCGATAAAAACAGAAATCTTTATTTTCATTAAGGGTGCTAATATCACTATAGTCAATCTTATTATCACAATCTTCATTAAAAAGTTTAGCAAAATATTTTCATTAAGGCGTACACCTTACCCGATTTATATATTTTTTATAAATCATACTTAAATCCTAAACTAAAGCCCCGAATAAATCATGCAATCATGCACCCTCAAGCCGCATCAATTTCCTCTCAACAACCTCGACCTCCAGGCCACTACCTTAGTCGTAGCTACCAGCATCGTAATCACCGCTAAAAATCACTTGAAAGCGGCACACCACCACCTCTAAAAATTTTAGAGTATTATTCTCATATTTATGTTAATGATAAAAATTTATAAAAGAGAAGATTAAAATAAATGAAAAAGAAACAAATTGAGATGCATTGAACTCCACATGATGAGGCAGGAGAGAGACCAATTTTTTATAACGATGTCTCAAATAAAGACCACAATATGTGATAACAATGCAGAGATTTTTGAGTAGTAGCTAATTATAACAGCTTTTGTATGAATTAAATGTGGATGAGTGGGAAGCTGACAAAGAAGGAATTTAGAGTTGAACTTAATGTTATAGGATACTTTTACGTAATTTCTATATTCCAACTTATTTTGCTCTTGTATTATTTAGATTTCAATTCTATTTCACGCAATTTATCACTTGCCACTTTAGGTCTTGTGGATTTTTTTATTTCACTTGTATGCAAATTTATTACTTTATAGTTCAATAGAAAGTTAATATATCATTCTTTAATATATTATTTGGGTATTATATAAAAAATTATTTTTAATATTTATTTTTCACTTTACGCGATTTTTGAATTTTGAGGCTTACGCCTCAAAACGCTTTGAGGCTTATGCCTCGCCTCATGAAAAAAAAAATGCTTCAATATCCAATTGCGCAATTTTAAACCTTAATTGATACTATTACTTAGATTACACTACTTATGTGATATAGCATGTATTTCCTTATTACTATATAGGAACTAGAATGCTTCGAATGAAGAGATTTAAAAAAAAAAAATAGAATAAAAATAATGACAAATAGATCTATATGACTATAGTTGTTGAAATTACTGTTACTTTGGTGATTTATTAGTACTTATTTTAATATACATACATATATATTGATGAGGCTTACTTAAATGAGAAGAAAATAGTAAAACCATATTATGTGAAATGAATATTAATTAAATTATCATCTTAAAATAATTAAAACTTCTGATGAACTTCTAATATCATATTTTCTTAACGTAGATGCATGTAAATAATCAACTGACTTAAAATTAAGAAAATAAATAAGTTTTTTAAATTAACCTATTTGTCTTGAAACAGCTCCATCAAATCTCGACTCAAAATTTGTATTTTTTTACTACATTTAAATTGACTATAACCAATATTACATTATCTAGTCTAAAGCTTAGACAACTTGTTTTAGGCTCAACATTTTCTTAAAATGTAGATAAAATTTAGATATAAATAAAAATGAAATAAAAGATAATTTTAGCAAAATTTATAAATATTTTGGGGTCTTGTTCTATTTTCCTAATAACTTTTCACATTTTAGTCACTTTAATTTCTCCAATTTTATTTTATGAGAACATTAATTTTCTTCTGCCAAAAAGTCTGACCTGATCTCCTAATATCATTCCCTTGCTAACCCTTTTCAATCCTCTCTAAGCACTTTGAGATCACTAAACGCCCTCTTTCTCCACTATATCATCTATAGCCTTCAAGACCCAAATCCTACACTTCCTTCTCTCTACTTAGCTTTTTGAAGCCTCCCTCGCCCCTATCGCCCCTTCTTTATTCTCTATGAGCACTTCATTGACACCCAAAATAATTATAGCCTCATTCGCCTCATTTTCTCCTCCACACTACCCCACTCTGTGATCAACATACTCTTTAGAAAGTGCCCAAGCCACTAAACCTCTTCTTTTCCAATAGCAACAACATTAGCGATGATCATTTAACAAATGCAGCTGCGATGATGATCAATTGGCTCCCCCATAGAAATTTGCACTTATGCGACATGAGCAGAGAAAGCGACAATTTCCAAGACGACAATGCAGCATCACTTTGATAATAATGTCCTATCTCCCTTGCATCTCTCTAGCTCACATCATCAACTAGGTCTATAACTCACGTCTCATGCTCACTCACATCTTTCTTGCTCATGACAACTCCAGTCCCTTGCTTTCATCTCTCTTGCTCATGTTGACGACCATGAGATCATACACGTGGTCTGCAAAGCACTTACAAGGCTTGAGCAAGACCAACGACAACAGTGGGGCAATTTGGGAAGGTCAGTTCCACAAATGATGATAGGCTTTAATATAAAGTAGAGATTTTTATTACATGGTCTGTTTCGCTACTCTCACCAGCCACTTCTATCCTTCTGCTACATTCTATGTCATTACAAATTCACAAGCAATCGTGATACCCATAAATTTATAGCAAAAAAGGACAAAGCAACAATACTAAGTTTTACAATTCATTATAAAACAGGCTATTTCGAATATTAAGTTTAAGCATAAATATAACAAAATAACCATGTGAATGCTTTTAAAAATGGAATTAAAAATGAACCGAAGTTGCACGTTTTTTTTTTTTTTTTTTTTTTTTTCAGCAAAGCCAATCTAAAGATAAAAAGCATCAATAAAGACAATCAGGAACCTTGATCCAGCTGCACCATATTCCGTAAATGATTGCCTATCACCACCAAGCATGGACCGTCCATGTGCTCGAGAAAGTGGATGTTCGGGACTGCAAGAGTTAATCATAACTCAACTTCAGCAAATAGGACATTAGCGCATTAGAATAAGAAATAACGTATTAATCATGTAGTGTAAGTGCATAATCTTTCTAGACAATTAATATCAATTTGGCATTAGTTTTTACATTATTTAAAAAGAAATCACATCAAATTGAAAATAGTTGAGGGACTTCTATCATAACAATAATCAATGTTGCATGCCTTTCAATGTAATGATGCTAATAATGGAGCCATTAATATTCCGAGCAATAGTAAATTAATTTGAAAATCGATACCCAATCTCAAGATATTATGCCAAATTCTCCAGGCTATCCCTAGTTTTGCTTATTGACATGGAAGGCAACAGAGTTAAGTGCAATCTTTATAATGCTAGCTTGTTAAAGTTTAAGAATCGCAAGAAAGTTGGAATTTTGCATAGAGCTATATAACATGACTCAAAAAAGTTGACCAAATTCACTAAAAAGTTGACCAAAATCATTAATGAGCCCACATATTCTACTAGTAGGATCCCCGATTCCGATATCATTATAAGAAAAAAATACTTAAAAAAAATAAAAATAAAAACTTGAGCGGCACCAAAGAGCTCTAGCTCGAGCAATATGCTTTAGAATTCACATAATAGAAGTAATAGATTTGAATTTGGTCTCGGACAATCTTTAATTAAATATTCACTAGCTAGCTGCATGGAGTTCAACCTATAATTAGAACCATGCACCACCCTTATCTATAACTGGCCTCATCGCTACTTGTGTTGGTCTTAAGCCCAACTTTCAATCAATAAAATATTTAAGATGGACTTTCATCCTTTAAAAAATGTGTAAGAAGCAAGACAACCTCCAAGATACTACAAAATGAAGACAATACAATATGGGTGGGTATTAGCTCATGGTAGTGGCGTAGGAGGCAACACTTGATGAAGGGAGTTTGGGATTAGTTTTTTAATACAACACAAGGATGTAATGGATGTAGATAATGCAAGGAACGCCACTAAATATACAAACACTAATATATATATATATACAATTGGGATTCTAATTGTGATGAACAAATAGTAATTCCTAAGTTTGTTTGGTCTTAATTTCTTATTATTTTCTTTGAATTTTTTCGATTATTACATCAAATGATAATGTAATATGGAAAAAATTCAAAGAAAATAATAAGAAATTAAGACCAAACAAACTTAGGAATTACTATTTTTTCATCACAATTAGAATCCCAATTGTATAAAATTTGAAATAGATCAAGACTAGCAAGCCAAAAATAACAAGCATTTTTAGAAGAAGTTAAGGAAAATTTTCACCATACAAAAAAATCAATGCCCCATATTGGTACAAAGAGATGGCGCCTTCAAAATTATGTGGCGTACTTGGACCACACTCAAAGCAATCAAACATACAACTTGCACAAAATAGATTGAAATCTCAAATAAGAAATTTTATTCAATTAAAGTTTATCTAATTACATGCCCTAGACTGTATATGACATCTGGAAATAAGAATAAACTCAATTTGGTTATAGAAATCACAAATTGCACAAATTTTTGCTATCATGGATTTGAGATATTTTGTGATTGATTATGACATAGAAAATAATATATTATCCTAAAAAATAAAATATTTTTCTATGAACTGAAATATAAAGCTTATATTTTTTTTTATTTGCCCATAACATTTTGTCTACCCAACATGCTTGATTGAATAAATTTTATTTTATTTTGGAGTATAGATTAATATAACGGCAAGCCCCTATAATTAATTGCATCCCAAAGATATTTATCTCTTGAAATTTTTTTTGATTAAAATAGTGATTTATGTTTGTTCATCAAAACATTAGCAAATATTTTATATACTTTTTTTCTAAAAAAAATTAGAAAAGACATCTTTTATTAGATTTAAATGAGAAATTGACTTTTAAAGGACCTCAAAATCTGGTGGGTAACGTAGCAAAATCATCGGTTAGGCCGCCGTTAAAAGCCGGCGGTCACACTACCGGCTATGCCGCCGGTAACACCGGCGGTCCATGAACCGCCGGTTAGAACCGCCGGTAATGAGCATTTTTCCTGTAGTGTGGGTCATGCATATTCATGTAAATCCTCAAATATATATGTATTCAATGGAAGTGGTGAACCCGTAATGCTAGCACCGTGTGTTATTTGATTGATAAGGCGATGAGAGCTGCCACATTGTATGTCTTGCTAAACTATGATGAAGTTGAGTCATATCTCTAGTAAGTATGAGTTAGCTTGTTCATATATTTGTTACTCATAAATCATAACTATTTAAAATTAGCATGAGTTTCATTAATGATTTAAGTGCATCAGTATCAGTAGAAGTCTCAAAAATAGTGGAAACAGAATTTCCAAATTGATTCAAAAATACAGTATATATTTCAACCATTCATTTCTACTAATTTGTCTTAATTAGTTAACACAATAATCAATAAACATACTACTAATATACAAACATCTTATCGACCAATTAGGTCAACACTCAAGGTAGTAATTTATAGTATCAGGGACTAGTGGATCTAGCTTGGGGACCAAATATATTAATAAAATGTTGGCTTTTTTTTTGTTAATGGCTACAAATTTCAAACCAAATCTTGGTGTGAAGGTAAGAGGGCAGATAATTCTAATGTTTGTATAAGAGAAAACACCCATACATATGATGATTATGAGTACTACGGGGTATTACAAGAAATATTACAATTTGAATATCTAGGGGACGGAAACAATGTGTATCTATTCAATTGTGACTGATTTGATCCAGTGAAGAACAGAGGTAAAAAGGTACATCTACTTTATGATATAACAGAAGTAAAGCGGGTAGGAGATATGCAAAGTTTGAGCCATTTATCATTGCTAATCAGGCAAGCCAAGTCAATTTTGCTAATTATCTGAGTAAATTACGAGGCAAATAAGATAGGCTCATAGTTATGAAAACCAAAACTCAAAGGAGTCATTAAGAAAATCACATCAATATCACCAGCACATCAAGAAGAGCTTATGTCAAACTTAAAAGATATTGCCAATTATGTGGACAATAAAATTGTAACTAACGAGAGAGAGTTGCAATTAGAGGAAAGTCATAAGAAATCTGATAGTAGTGAAGATGTGCTATAATAAGAAAGTGAATCAACAAATGATGGGGAAACAGAAGATAAATGTATTTAATTATTTGTTACAATCAATTATGAATTAACAATTTATATGATGCATTCAATACTTCATACTCATGTTTTAAGATACTTTTATTTATGTTATTGTAATTTTGAGTTTAATTTTTTGTTTACCCAATGATGGAAGGCATTTGAGTTTAATTTTTTGTTTACCCAATGATGGAAGGCATCCGATGAACATGTGTAGTTTAGGGGCTCTTTGGACATATTTTTCCTTTAGTGTGCTAGCTTCTTTGGGTGCTTTGTGTTTGGGCTTATTTGGGTTTGATGGGGGGCAGCTGAGCTGTCGTCTACTGGGTAGATGTTTGGTTTTTGTGGCTTTCACGATTCCCTTGGCTTGGTTGTTCGGGTCCTGTTGTTGTTCCCTAGCTTTCCCGATTCTCTTGGCCTTGGTTGTTCATGTCCTGTTGTTGTTCCCTGGCTTTCCCGATTTCCTTGGCTTTGGTTGTTCGGATCCTGTTGCTTCAGTTGGGCCTTAATTGCTGCCTTTTTCTTCCCATTTTTGGTTGGTTGTATGGGCGGTTGTGGTTGGCTGTTGGCCTCCTTTTCTTTCCTATTTAAGGAGATGTTTTGGGCTGTTATAAGGAGTTTTTGGATATAAAAAGAATTCTAAAACCTGAGGGTTTCTTCTATAGCTTGAGAGCTACTTCTTCTCTACTTATTTCTTCTTCCAAGTATTATATCTAATTCTTCTTTCCACAAATTTCCACCACATTGTATCCTTCTTCTAAAAATGTGAGTGGTGTTGGTTGGTCAGTTTTGTTGGTATTTGCCAGAGGAGTTGTGGCGGACGTTGGATCAAAGTTGTTGTGGTGGACCACTAGTTTGCATGTCCTTCAGCATTCTATTTACCTAATTTATCGTTACATGTGAGGTGACCACTAGTTGGTTGTTTTGAGGGTATTTTCTTTTTTTAGTTTTCTTTCTTCTAAAAAACAATTTCAATTTGTTTCATATCTATTTGGTGATTTGCTTACTAAGTTTTGGATTGAGACGTGTCCTACTTTCTTTTGTGTTCTCCGTTGGGTTTAGATCTTTCTAATTTCTCATCATTATATCAATAATATGATTTATTTTTAACAACATAGAAATAGTTACTTTAGTTATTTTATTGTTGCTCTATTTTATATTAAATATTTTTTATAATTTATGTTGTTAATATTTCTTCAATATTTTTTGCAGATGGATTCAAGTGATGAGCCTCGCTGAGGATTGATCAAGAATATTTTTAGTGGATGCAAGAAGGTGACTAGTGGCTCAGTTAGTAAGTATGTACATACTGAGAGGACCTCTTCTTCTCAGTCTGCCACTAATAGTCAGTCTAGCCTGCCTTTACATACTCTAGCCAGTTGCCCACAGTTTTACTCATCAAACCCCCGCTTCCCTTCACCAAATGCCACGCACAATACTCCCTTCTAACCTTACTACCCCCCCCCCCCTCACCTTCTCATAGAGGCCCTCTCACTTATCCATATACACCATATATCCCACCATTGTATCCCCCACAACCCCCTCAACCCTATGCAGGTGGACCTTCCACCCCAGTTAAAACAGAGCAGACGTTAGAGGGGCACATATTGATTGCACCTGAGAGTGACACTACGTACTTATTATATTCTTAACATGCCACTAAAAATTTGATGAATATTTTTTCACCTAACACATTTTATGCAGATTTCATCCGTCAAAGCAGACAACGCATAAAATACGGGACATCATACGGAGCAGGTATGATGATCCTTATATTTCTTAGAAGAAAATCTTAAAATAAGCATGCAATATGTGATTTAGAGAGTTTAAGGTTAGTTATTATAAAAATATATTATATATTATATCTTTTAATTAAGCTTACAAAAATATTTATATTGTATGTTTTTAATACATAAAATTTTTATTACTTGTTTGAGCACAATGATAAAATCAGAAAGAATTTTGAGAAGCGCAGGTCGACTCGCATGCGAGACATGTTTACAAACATTAGAAAGTCAGACAGCGACCGCTTTTAATTAGTGAGAGTGTATGGGGCGAGCTGACAAGTGCTTGGAGTAGCCCAGATTATACGAGGAGAAGGAACCATAATAGACAAAATAGAGCTTCTGATAATGGGGGTATGGATAGTTCCCTCCATACTGTGGGCTCAGTTCCACATACTGAGCACATGTGGCGTTTGGTAAGAAATTTTAAAAAATTTAAATAATTTATTTAGATATGAATACTAATATAAGTATTATATTACAGAAAGATGTGCTGGGTAAAGAACCAAACATTATTAAGTTGCATAAACATCCACAAGCGACAAGAGGACCGGCAATGGGTTGATGAGCGAGCAAGAAGAGCCTACATGAGTACATAATTTAAATATTTTAGGTGTCATGTGCAAATTGCTTAATGTTGTATTAACTTTTGTAGGATGGGTACACACGGCTTCAAGAGAGCCAGCCCGGAGCAGGTCAGGGATCTTCTGGGGGATCAGCAGATTATTCTGACTACCGCACTTGATCGCAAGCGGTAGGTTGAATGTAGAAAAGTCGGCTTTATGGCTTAGGCTAGAAAGCCTACGCATACGAGGGGCAAACATCATGTGACTCCAACTTCTCAGAAAGTAGCCAGGAGTTGTTATATAGCCAACAAGTAGCTTCTCTTACGTCCGAGCTAGATCAAGTCAGAAAATCATAAGCTTACATACAGATGCAGCAAAGTCAGTTATTGGATGAGCTGCAGAAATTGAGGGAGCAGTTCACTAGAAAGCAAGCAGCATCAACAAAGGAGATTGATTTTGATTAAATGTTTTTTCGTTATTACTAGATATTTCATTTATATGTTGGACATTTTATTTGTATGTTTGAATATATTATTATCTGTTTTTATTGTGCAATTAACGAACATTATGTTTAATGTTTGAATGACTACAAGTTTCCAACGAAATATCCGTCAGAAATGTATCATATTTCCAGCAGAAAAATTCCACCTGGATTTTCGACAAATAAACCGTCGATAAAAATGCCTTGTAAATGACGAATATTGTCGCACAATGCTGCCAATTAAAATTCCGTTGGTAAATCAGCTGGAACAAAGTTTCAAATGCGCAATTTATCGTTGACTACATTTTCGCCATAAATTCACATTTTCTAGCAGAATTTTTTCGATTTCCGGCAAATATGGGTCGCCAGTAACAAGAGTTTTTCCTTTAGTGTCACGTAGTGAGATAAAAGCTTGATATTGTTGTTTTTTGATAAATTCATATCAAAGATCAAATCTTTGGAAATTTCAAAGGCTATTGGAACTACTTAAGAGGAATTTTTAGAATGAAAGCCAATGGAGGAGAGGTCGGAGGACTTGATTTTGAATTAGATATTTAAGAGAAAGTAAAAGAATATTTCCTCAAATGAAGAAGGCCTCACATTTACAAGAAATTGAATTCTCTTGAAATTAAGTACTTGAATACCACACTAGCAAAATCATGCCCAAATTGCACGGACAAGGATAAAAAACTAGAATAAAACATTTCATCAATCAAAAAGGTTTCTTTGACAATCCTGATAATGCCACTGAATAAAAGATTGAAATATGCAAGCAAAGCACAAGGACGCCCCAACCCCAGCGTAGTTAAGTTTAACATTTTCAAATAAATAGAAGATGTAATAAATCTTTAATAAGACAATCAGAGGAAAATGCTTAGATGAGTAAACCTTGAACCTGACGTGCGTTGTTGTTCAACAACAGGTTTCCTTCGACTGCACCTCCAAAAAGCATTTGCAATATTTGGTTCACTGTGGGATGCACTGGGACAACCGAGACATCAGATATAACAAGTCAGACAATAGTATAGAACTTCGCATAAAAACAAAGATGCAAAATGGCAATATGTGCCAAAATTTAGACATTCTATCCTGAAGAAGGTTTGATAATCAATCAAATAATAGCATCCAAGTAAACTAAACCAAAATAAGTTGTTCTTTCTTATGTTTTTTCAATCGGAACACTAGCCACACCTCAACTTTCCATCAGAAAACGTTGTTGATCTCAGCATAATATTACGTAGTGGTGGTCCTGATGGATTAGATGTTGACTCTGCTCTTCGTTGATACATAGATTGGAGAAGTTCATCTTGTTCTTGATAGCTAAATCGGAAAAGATAAATTAGGCAACATAATGTATATAAAACATGATGCATTACACTTCTCAACTTGCATTATCTAAAAGAATTTTGTTCTCAGATGCTTCAGATTGCGATGATTAAAAATGGTTCAAGAACAGAAACATCAAAATAACGAAGTTTTTTTAGTCGGAGAAGAAACTTGGCAAGATTGAATTTAATGCATGAATTTAAGTTGGTAAGATTCAATCCTTCAAGTTGATCATAAAGCTTGTCAAGGATTCCTCCTAATCAGGTAATACCAGGATAGGCACAAGAAGGTCATAGATTTGAGATAAAAGAGTGAAAATGGGTAGCAAGACTTCAACCACAGTGCAACATCTTGGAAATGCCGCCCCAATTCTCCATCAATAGAAATATAACCAGAATCATACAACCAATCTTTCTCTTTATTTGCTACAGCACCATCTTGCAGTATCTTTTACCCAAACGGTAATCTGCAATGAACTGATAATATTAGGCAATTTGATGCTTTACTATCCAACAAGTAAGCCATCTGAATTTTAACTTATAGGCAGTTTCTTACAAACTAAAGTTGGTGATGCATTGGTAAGCATATAAAAGGTATGGTCCCTCCATGTTCTCTTGTGCACATGTTTAAGAACGATGCCAAACTCTAGAAATGCATCTTCATTGGCCACGACGAAAGGAGAAGCATTGGGAGTACATCAACAAAAAAGCAAGAAGTTCATCATCTAGAGAATGACTTTTCGATGAACTTACTTCCCATCACCCTCTTATATAATTAATTATTCTTAAACATTTTAAGTTGGACATTACATTGATAACCTGACAAATACTGATATAATATGTCAATGTATATAGCGTTCCTAATATCACTAAGATGATGTAATAAATATACATCATAGAAAACAAATTAGGCTTCGCATATCAAAGAGGACTAATTAGAAAATAAAATTTATTTTCAAGTGTCAATTAAAAAATACTTAAAATTTGAAATAAAAATTAGGGAGAACAAGTCAAAAATATTGTAATAAAAGATGATTCGTTTTGGCATAGTATAAATTATGCTTTGAAAACAACAGACCCTTTAGTTAGAATGCTAAGAATGGTTGATGGTGAGAAGGCCTGAGCTATGGGATTTATTTATGAAGCAAATTTGGACGGTCAAGAAGGTGCCTACAAAGAAATATGCCTACAAAGAAATATGAGAAATTATAGATGAAAATGGAAACGTTAGTTACACCTGCACTTACATGCCACTGCATATTCTTTAAACCCTCAATTTCATTATGATAAAAATTTTCGTATTGATAAAGTAAAAACTGTTTCATTATGATCCAACAAACTTCCACACAAATCTGCGCAACTTATCTTTGAAGCTATTATAGTTAAAATTGTAGCTTAGCCATTTGTAGGTTCGACGTATATCTTTTGTGTTGGCATAATAGACCTATTTTCAAAAAATTTGGATTATATTGTAGGAAATACAGCATTAATATTTTGATATATTTTGTGAATATCAAATGCTTAATTCATCAGCATTGAATTTTTTCAAGCTAGATATATTTGACGGAGATCTAAAAACTTTAACTTGCTGGAAACATCGCAAACAAATGATTCTAGCATATTTAGCTATGTTTCATTAGTTAGTTATTTCATTTTTGTAGTTTTTTTTTTTTTTTTATTTGGGACAGGCCTATGAGAACAAGATGTGTTCACTTTATGATATTCTTGGTTTGAGTAATCTATTGTTTAGTGCTCAAGTTGCTGATGCTGATGTTGATGTTATGATCTCAGGGATCAATTTTAGTTAAGCATTAAGTGCAAATGTCTTTGTGGAATTGTTCAACTAATTTAGTAAGATTGGAAAAATTAATTTAGGCATGGTTGTTCTTACTAAACATTTGCAAGAAGATGATCCTGGTATATGCTTTTTGCTGATGATATTCTTCTTGTCAATAAGACTAGAGAGGGAGAAGGAAAACATGAATTATGGAGGTCAACTTTAGAGAGTAAAGATTTTCATTTTAGTAGATCTAAAACTGAATATATGGAGTGTAATTTTAGTGGTAATAGATCTAGTGCTAGGATTGTAACTTTGGGTTATCACGTTGTTAAAAAGAGTGCATGTTTTAGATATCTTGGGTCTATTGTTCATAGTGATGGTGAAATAGATGAGGATATTATTAGTGTAATTCAAGTTGGATGGTTTAAGTGGAGGAATACATTGGGCTTGTTGTGTGATAAAAAAGTGCCTCACAAACTTAAGGGAAATTTTATAAGATGGTGGTAAGACTTGCAGTGCTTTATAGTGCAAACTGTTGGTCATTACAAGAGAAACATAAAATTAAATATTGCAAAGATGAGGATGCTTAGGTGGATGGGTGGCTTTACACATAGAGATAGAATGCGAAAAGGTTGGACTAGCTCCAGTGGCATATAAGATCAGAGAGAATCACCTTAGATGGTTTGGTCATATAAAGCGTTGACCTTCTAATGATCTAATTATGAGAGTAAATGTATTATATCTCGCCTATATTAAGAAAGATATACATAAACCTAAAAAAAACTTGGTTAGAAATCTATGGGCTTCAAAAATTCGAGCCCCGGTCTCTCTGCGGCCCCTTTCTTTCTTCTTCAGGTCGTCATGGAGAATTTTAACACTCAAGTTCCAAGGCAAATTTTCAGAAGGTAGATTGGGTTTTAAATGAGACACTACCCAAAGATTTCGCCCTCATTTTGTGAGGACTTTATGATCTGAGTTCAGGTTTCCTATAGGCGCAAGCCCCTATAGCTAATTACCCCTCCCGATAATAAAAGAGAATTTTCGATTAAGGCTAGTAGTCGATCAAATACAGAGTATCTGACGTATAGTAGCATCATGTTTAGGTATTTGAAATTTGATATTTAAAATTAGAAATTCAGCACCTTGCACTTAAAGTAGATGGTTGGGGGAGTGATGATAGATCCAATCAAGATCCCATGGTTCCATCGTCTCGAATCATCATGGTCCCAAGCCTACTCAGTCAGAGGAGATACTCAACCTAACATGACAGAAGGATCCTTGTTGGCAGCCACGGGTTGCTTCTTCCAAGGGTACCTTGTAGACCTGGGGTGGATATTTATCTAGGGGACAAATTTGAAGCCATCATAGCTAATAGAGGGCTCTGGCAAATACCAACAAAACTGACCAACCAACACCACTCAATCAACACCTCGAAGCTGAAAATCAGCACCTCGACGCTGAAAATCAGCACCTCGACGATCATTTCCCATGCTCATCTCCTCTCTAGAGAGTGGCTCTAGAGGTGGCATGTCGTCGTCCCTTTCAAAAATCTCCACCTCCTGATTCCTCCTCCCCCGGATTGGGTTTGGATTTCCTCCTACGCCATGGCCGTCAGTAGTCTCTCTCACTTCCGATGTCTCCGGATTGGTCTTCATCTCCAATAGTTTCTTCATCATTTCTTCCATAGCCGCAAACCTCCCTTCCAACCTGTCATTGATGGTGGAGATTTCCAGGAACTTTCCCTCCATATCTGTCTTCAGTTGTCCGAACTCGCCTTCTAATGCTTCCACCTTCTTTCCGGCCATCTTTCTTCTAACGGATCCCGAAAAATCTTCTTCCGGAAAAGAAAAACTTGCTAAAATTTCAGAATTTCAGCCGCCGGTGATCCCAAATCGACGCTCTGATACCAATTTGATAGGAAGTGCTTCCGGTCTAACACAATCATATCTTATTGATTCATTGCTCAATGATTTAATGTCATTGAGGAACATACGGGCACTAACCATGACCGTAATTCAATGGTGTCATTTGGCGGCAAAACCACCAAATGACAATGAAATCACCGGTTATATGACAGACATTTGCTCTTTGGGAGCTAAAATGGTTTTCAGATTTGTCCACCTCGGAAAACTGTTGCGGAGGGTAGCTGAATATTTTGCTTTAAGTGTTTAGATAATTTATTTCAATTTTAAATATTTTTGGTGACTTTTGGAATTTGGATTTTCATTAGCATTTGGGAGTCATTTTTTAAACATTTGGAGTTGATCGGGAAGAGATGAACATAATGAAGAACCTTCTCACGATGGAGTTGAGATCAAAGACTTCGGCCACCTTAAAAATTTTCCTGACATTGAAGTGGATCATCCAAGGATGCTAAATCCACTTGCCAATGAAATCTGTTCAAGACACGTTAAAAGAATGTTAGCTCAAAATTGGCTCAAGCTCCAATGAATCAACAACAACAATAAAATACAAGGAAGCCTCCCTTTGGATAAAGGTAGATATCATAGATTGGTTGGGAAGCTTATTCACTCTCGCACGCACGATCACATATTGGTTTCTCTGTGAGCATTGTGCACCGTTTTAAGAACAATCCTAGAACACTTAGGAGTTGTATGTTAAATTTTGTAATATAAAAAAACAATCATAGGCAATGCTTATACTTCAAGAAAACTTCAATTAATTGCATTAACGAATTTCCTAATATTGATTGAACTATATCAACAATAGATCAGAGATCAACTACGAAGAATTATACTGATTAAACTTGGTAGCCTGCCAGAGCAAGAAACGGTTTACAATAGCCAAAGGCAATGAAGAAGCTAAATTTTGAGGTATGCCCCAAATATGTGCAAATATGTAGCCAAGTAAGCTACTTGGAGAATTAAGAATGTTAACCTAAAAAAACTGTGAAGATGTTCTCTAATAACAAAGCTACCATATGCAATTGAAAGAATAATGTTCATCATGACAAAACAAAATATGTTTGGATCAATTGTCATTTCATCAAAGCAAAGCAAGATTAATGACTCATGAAGTTTGTATACAAGCTTAAAAATCTCCAAACAACTATTCTTATAAAGCCACTCAAGTGCCTACTTTGAAAATTTAAAATCTAAGATAGGAATGATTGGTATTTATATTCCATGATCTCGGCTTGAGAGGGAATGTTGATATTCGCCCTTCTCCCGTACATGCATGTTCAAATAGTTTGT